GGGGCCGCGACGAAGGGCGGGGCCGAGCCGGGCGGGCGCACGGGCGGCGACGGGCCGGGGCGGGGCCGCGACGAAGGGCGGGGCCGAGCCGGGCAGGCGCACGGGCGGCGACGGGCCAGGGCGGGGCCGCGACGTAGAGCGGGGCCGCGTCGAGGGGCGGGGCCGCGACGATCGGGGCGCGGCCGCGACGTAGGGGAGAAGCCCGCCGCGCGCCTCGGGGCGCACAGCGGGCAATGAGCCGCCGCGCGCCTCGGGGCGCACGGCGGGCAGAAAACCGCCGCGCGCCTCGGGGCGCACGGCGGGAGGAGAAAGGTAGCAGCGGAAGCGAGGTGGTAACCCACCCACAGGATCGATCCAAGGGGATCGACCTGCTCTGATAGCATGACAAAATTAGAAGAAGAAAGAGGGATGAACTAGCAGAAATGGGGATACAAATAGCAAACCCTAGAAGGGTTGTACTCGCTATAGAGCACCCCACTACAGGCTAGAACATAAGAATAATATTCTGACATCCTCCTCGTTGTCCTCGTCCCTCCTTAGAGTGTCCTCCGTCTGTCCAGTCGCAGTCACAGCTGCCGCCTACCTCGCCCCTTCCTGGTCCTTCTCCCTACACTGGTCCGACAGGCGGTCTTATAGTGCGTCGTGAGCCGGAGTCTCGTCCTGTGTCACCTGTGTCTCGTCCTGCGTCACCTGTTCGTGCTGCTCGCACTGCTAGCCGTGTTCCGCGTGAGTGTCCTCCTGCTGTCCCCGGCACACACTATATGACTCTGCGTCCTTCCACTGCTCCCCAACGTGTCCCTCTCCCGTCTCCTCCTGCGTCCTCTCTTCCTGCTCTTGCTGACCCGGAGTCTGACTCCCTTCGCGCTACCAGTCCTACTGTCACGCATCTTTTGGCTACTGTTGTCACTGACCCTTCCTTTGAGTCCGCTGCTGCGTCTGCCTTAGTTGCTGAGCTTGTCGACTTTGCTGCCACTTGTCGTCTAGACTACGCCGCTAGCCTAGTTGCTGAGTCTGAGTCTGTCTATCCTCCGTCCGTCGGGGGTGAGTGTGCTCTTGACACGGACGTTCTAGAGGACAGGCAGGAGGAGTTTGAGTGCTTCGCCGCTGCTTTACCTCATCTCGTGTCCATGCTTGTTGCCCCTGAGGGAGACTCGGATGCACTAGACATCCCAACTCCTCGATCGTACACTGAGGCGATCGAGAGTCCCTACTCCTCTCAGTGGCAGTCAGCCATGGACGCAGAGATGGCTTCCTGGAAGTCCACAGGCACCTACGTCGACGACGTTCCCCCACCTGGGGCGAAGATCGTCAGTGGTATGTGGATTTTCAGGGTGAAGCGGCCGCCGAGTTCTCCGCCTGTCTTCAAGGCACGTTACATTGCACGAGGCTTCAGACAGCGAGAGGGATTGGACTTCTTCCAGACCTTCTCCCCGACCCCGAAGATGACCACTCTTCGGGTTCTGCTGCACGTCGCCGCTCAGCGTGACTACGAGCTCCACTCTCTTTACTTCAGCACTGCTTTCCTACAGGGCAGCCTGCACGAGGAGATCTGGTTGCGCCGCCCACCTGGCTTCACTGGGTCGTTCCCTCCTGGTACCCAGTGGAGCCTCTGGCGGCCAGTCTACGATCTCCGACAGGCGCCGCGTGAGTGGCACGACACACTGAGGACTACACTTGCGGCTCTTGGGTTCGCTCCCTCTACTGCTGACCCGTCGATGTTTCTACGCACCGACACTTCACTGCCGTTGTTCTACATTCTCGTGTACGTCGACGACTTGGTCTTTGCCACTGTTGACACTGCGGCACTCGCCTACGTGAAGTCGGAGCTACAGAAGAGACACACGTGCACAGACCTGGGTGAACTGACAAGCTATCTTCGCTTGCGGATCACCCGGGACAGAGCACGGCGCACCATCACCTTGACTCAGTCACACATGGTGCAGCAGGTCCTTCAGCGCTTCGGCTTCAAGTACTCCTCGCCTCAGTCCACTCCTCTGCCTACAGGTCACTCGCTCTCAGCTCTGCCTTCGGATGAGTCCGTAGAGCCGAGTGGCCCGTATCCAGAGATTGTGGGCTGCCTCATGTACCTGATGACCTGCACTCGACCTGGCCTCGCATACTCTCTTAGCATCCTTGCACGCTATGTAGCTCCTGGCCGTCACCGGAAGGATCACATGGATGCTGCTAAGAGGGTGTTGCGCTACCTGTGCAGTACGTCGGGCATGGGGCTAGTGCTTGGAGGACGAGACCGAGTTGTACTCACTGGGCACTTAGACGCTTCTTGGGCTGACGACCAGGCTACGCAGCGGTCATCTCAGGGTTACACCTTCAGCCTTGGCTCTGGTTCAGTTTCTTGGCGTTCTACTCGTTCTTCTTCTGTTCTCACCTCCAGTTGTGAGGCTGAGATCTACGCCACACCCATGGCTGCATAGGAGTTACGCTGGCTCACCTACCTGCTGACCGACCTGGGAGAGCGGCCTAGTTCTCCTCCAGTGCTGTACGTCGACAACAAGGCTACCATTGCCTTGTGTGAGGAGCACAAACTGGAGCACAGAACGAAGCATATCGCTCCGCGGTACTTCCTTGCTCGAGAGCTGCACCAGCGTGGTCAGCTTCGTCTGCGTTACGTGGCCACTCGGGCCAACACTGCTGATGTGTTCACCAAGGCGCTTCAGCCTTGTGACCATCAGCGTTTCTGTACTGTTCTAGGCCTTGTGCCTACTTTCCCTCACTTGCTCACTTCTTGACTCTGCTTGTACTGTGATCTCTATATATATACCTGGATACTTACTTTTGTTAGGTTGTGATCACTGTATCTCTTGTTATATTATCAAACTGCATGTGAACTGGTCTTGTGACCGCTTGCTTGTGCTCGAAATTTGTGTGGTATCCTTGAGATCCACCCTGAGCTTGTTTTGCCTTGCTTTGCTTTGACTGGTCTTGTGACCCCTTGCTCTCCCCCAGTTCACCTATGAGGGTGTGTCAAACATTATATATGTTGTAGTTGCTTAGGCTACAGTGGGTTAGCCTTTAAGGGGTACACAATTCTAGGTTTAGGTACTTGTACTCACTTCTCTTTCAATGCAACCATCTCATTCTCTAACACCTATGCCAGGCATCGGCTGGGCAGCGCCATCGCTGGCTGCGCCTGAGCGCTGTCCCACGCTGTTGTTTTGTGTTGGTGTGCCGGACGAGACGACGATCGGCTCGTCTGACTGTGCAGATGCATTTGCTGGTGCGTGTGGTGCCGCTGGAGTGTTCACTGTTGATTGCTGACGCGCGGAGTCACGTTCCGCTGTGAGCATCGCAATTTCGAGCACCGAATCTTCGTGTTGGCGCACCAGACGGTCGAGCTGCTTCTGCGTCAATGTGGCGAGCGTGAATTCGGCCATGGCGGGGGTGTCGGGCGAGCTCAGCGATAGCCTTAGTCGTGGCCGTGCGTGCTTACGAGAGAGCACTACGAGCGGCGGTGCTGTGTCGTTGAGGGACATCTACCCCCCCCCAAAAATTGAGATAGTGGGGAAGCGAAGGTGTGGGTGCGGTCCGAGAAGAGGTCGTAGGCTCTGAATACCAAGTGTTACGAGTGCAATTGAGTGAACGAATGAGAATTGCACTATCGAAGCAAGAGTACCATGAGCGAAGGCATGAGCGAAGAATATATAGCGAAACTACAGTGGTAACGGTAATGGACTGTGGTTGTCACGCGACGGGCATGGGACTGAGGTTGGGAAAGTGTCGAAGCGGAGGCCCGGAGCGCGGGTTACTCGCCGAGCCGTGAGGTCGGGGTGCGACGTGCGAAGATGGCGGGCGGATTGTCGATGCGAGGATTGCGAGTGGTAACGGTGCTGACTGTGGTGCTAGAGTGATGTACGCGTTGAGCAGGGATGCGAAGTAAGGAAAAAGGATTTTCCTTACAGTATCTCTTCGTATTCCTTGTACTCTTATAAAAGCTTGTATCCATTTGTTTTAATCAACTACTTTGCCCTCACATGCTAGCGCAAGGTGGTTCACAAAGTTCTCATTTAACGCTTCCGCTATTACATTGTCCTACTCAGAATTTAGTCCTGCTAAGATCTTAAGGGTTTTTCTCAGCCCAACATAGAACCCCCCTGAAAAAATGACCTAGCGATATATATAGCCCACACTCAGCACCTTCCGAGGTCCCTAACTAAGGTCCCTCACTATATCTTGTGTAGTTTCCGTTTTTACGACATTTCTGTAATATGGTCATTAGCTATTCTAGTCCGCTGACTCACTTTCACAACTCATAACAATATGCATAGTCTCATAACGTTGCTACAGTAAGAACCCGACCCAAAGCCAGCAAGCCCAATGGCAGGAAGGTTGCAACTGTGTTACTGCAGGCTTGGGTGCGCCATACCCGTTACACGATTCCTAATCACGAAACGAACCTCTTTTGTGGAATCGTGTGCCTGAAGGTCTCGACGAAGAGGATCGTTTCGTAATTAGGCCACTGTTACACTTCGCGCAGCGGATCACACCTCGCGGAGCCCCAGCCAGCCGCAGCATGTTCTAGGTTTGCTGGTGGGGTCAGATTGGTTTGGTTTGGAGATCCGTTTCACTAGTGGCTGTCTTCTTGTCATTCCCAGGAACTGATCTCTACCACATCGAACCGCAACGTACCATACCAGTGGTACATGATTTCAAAATGTTCCCACCTTCCACCACACAATCTTCCAGAACTTCTGACACTGCTTCCTTCCTCACGACAATTTTGGCTCATTGATCATACTAGCAGATCCTTTCGCACAACTAGTGATCGGTGGAGTTAGGGATCTATTCCAATCACGCTAGTAGATTCTCCAGCTTCTCCGATCTCGAGTTACTTTTGAACATTGAAATCTTTATTTCCCGTTTCTGGCTCGCAAATCTCTGATCGCTATTTGTAAGATCAATTAGTGGAATCAGATTGTAGCATCAGATTGTAGCATCAGATTGTAACACCAACCGGTTCCATTACACTGTAGCATCCGCCAGCCATGAGGCCTCAGAATCCTCCCCCGGGCTGGCGCCCCTCTCCACCCGGCGCCGCTCCCCCGTACGGCCCGCCTCCGGGAACCGCTCCGCCAGCACGACCAGGTTTCCCCCCGGGCCAGCACCCCCCGCAGCAACCCGGATTTCCGCGCGGACCCCCTAGTCTGGGCCAAGTTCCGCCTGGTGCGCCGGGATCCGCGCAGCCGCCTGGCGCAAGGCCCGCCGGACCTCCGTTCCCTGGGGGACCGTTCGCCGGCCCTCCGCCGGGTTCACGGCCCGCAGGTCCGCCTCCCCCGGGGGTTGCGCCGCCCGGCGCGCGGGGCCCGCCAGCTGGATTTGCGGGTCCGCCTGCGGGTTTCCAAGGGCCTCCCGCGGGTGGCCCGCCAGGAGGAGCAGCCCGTCCGCCTGGCCCCTTCGCGGGCCCCCCGGGGGGTGGACCGCGCCCTGGCGGTCCTCCGCCGGGTTCCGCTCCGCCAGGCGCCGCTCCCCCTGGCGCGCCCCGCCCCAGCGGTCCCCCTTCCGGATACCCCGGTGCGCCGCAGCAGTACCCTGGCTACCCCCCGCAGCAGCAGGCCCCCCCGCCGCCGGCGCAATCCCGCCCTCCGCCCACCGGACCCGCGCCGTACGGTCCGCCATCGTACGGCGCTCCGCCGCAGCCGGCGCAGCCAGGCGCGCCCCTTAACGCGCCCGGAGGCCCTCCCCCGCCCTTCGGAGCGCCTCACCCTCCGCCTGGCGCTGCGCCGCCGTCATGGGGGGGAGCCGCCACGCAATCCGCTCCGCCAACCCAGCAGATGAGCGCGCTAGCTATGGGCAGCCCTCCGCCTACCATCCCGGGGCAATACGGTGGTCCGCCCGGGTCCACCCCAGGGCAATACGCGCAGCATACTCCGCCTCCGCCTGGATCCGCGCCGGGGCAGTACGGGCAGCATGCGCCGCCTCCGCCGTTCTCCGCCGCTCCCCCGACAGGCCCTCCGCCTGGCGGAGCCATGATGCCCGGCGCGGGACCTCCGCCGCCCTTCGGCGCCCCCCCGACAGCTGGCGCGGCGCAGCGACGCGCGTATCCCATGCCCGCGGGAACGGTAAGTGCGCCGAAGCACAATCCTGCTGTCAGCTCTTGAAAGTTGAAGTCACTTTCGTGTAAACTTGCCGTCGTTTGTTCCCAATATCTGCCTTTGAGACTTCTCAAAATCGTCCTTTGCTCCCAATCCCTGCCAAATCGTCAGGCGCGCTCGCTTTGATTTGATTTGATTCGGATAAGTTGTTTGTGTTTGTTCTCCGAGATTTGGGAAGATCCGCATTTTATACCTCTTTCAGATGCAAACCCTAATCAGTGTGAGGGCCAACGCGCGTTTAGTTATTCACTGAATTCTCGTTTGGGTTATGAGGGCCTACGCGCGAACAATCCGCGTTAGGTTATTTCTCTCTCCCATTTGTTTCTAGTCGCCCCAATTTCTCATCCTTTGTCCCTGCTTCCTCCCCCTCCCCAGCCCCTGGGCGTGGGCGCGCCCCCCCAGTCCCCTGGAATGCAGCTGCCCTCCCCTGGGATGGGCGCGCGCGGCAGCCCATGGCGCCCTTCACGGGGTAGGCGGCGGGGCAGCAGGGGTCGGCACCCTGATTTTCCTCTCTCACACCACTTCCTCCCGCTTCCCTCCTCCCTCTTCCGCTTTCCCCTGTCCCCTTCCATCCCCAGCCTCCGGGCGTGGGCGCGCCCCCCCAGTCCCCGGGCATGGGCGGGCATGCGCCCCCCTCCCCCGGGATGGGTGCGCGGCAGTCCATGGCGCCCTTCACAGCCCAGGCGGCGGGGCAGCAGGGGTCCGCGCCCTAACCTCCCCCACCAACCCCTCTTCCTCCCTCACCTGCTCCAGCCCCCAGGCGTGGGCGCGCCCCCCCAGTCCCCGGGTATGGGCGCGCATCCACCCTCCCCCGGGATGGGCGCGCGGCAGCCCATGGCGCCCTTCACAGGGCAGGCGGCGGGGCAGCAGGGGTCGGCGCCCGGGTCTCGGATCGACCCCAACCAGATCCCGCGCCCCCCGCCCCCCTCGGACGCGTTTCTCTTTGAGACACGAGTGAACGGCACGGCTAACCTACCACCGGTGAGTGCTGCTTCTCTGCTTGCTCCTGCAGTCTATGGCTTCACTTGATGGCTTGTTGTGGGTGGCTGGAGAATGGTTTGTTGCCAGCCTTGTGGTGTCCACACCCACCCACCCGACCAATTTCACATCGTGGTTTGCAATTCGACATGGCAAAAGGTTTTCAAGCTGATGCCACGCCCGTCCAATTTCACATTCCAATCAATCCTTTTTCTGTCCTGCCCGTGCGCGCCCTTGCTCCTATCACAGGCCGCCACGTCATCGTTTGTGGTCCGCGACACGGGTAACTGCAGCCCCCGGTTTATCCGAGCGTCTTTGAACCAGGTGAGGGAGCAGGTGTGGGCAGGTGTGAGCAGGTATGAGCAGGTTTGAGCAGGTGTGAGCAGGTGTGAGCAGGTGTGAGCAGGTGGACAGGCGTGAGCAGGGGGAGGAGCGAGCAGGTGTGAGTGAGTGTGAGTAGGTGTGAGTAGGTGAGACCATTGTCGCCATCTCACACTTTCCTTTCTTTCCCTACCCTTACCTGCCACCCTTCCTCTATCCCGATTCCCCTCTCCGCGGATCTCCTCACCACCTCCGCCATGCCTCTCAGCACCATGACCACCACCACCACTAGCATCGTCGCACACTCTTCCCCCTCGACCCTTCCCCTCTATCCCTCCCCCTTACCCTCTTCCCTTCGCACATTGCCCAGATACCTCTCTCTGCGGATCTTCTCACCACCTCCGCCATGCCTCTCAGCATCATGATCCAGCCGTTCGCCCTGCAGGACCCGGCTGATACCCCCGTGCATGTGAGTGAGAGGAGAGGAGTGTGGGTCAGGTGGGGCTGGTAGGGCTGCTATACTCACCTCATCTCACCCCCTTATGGCGGGATGGGTTGGGTGGGCCTCTCTCCTCACCACCTCCGCCATGCCTCTCAGCATCATGATCCAGCCGTTCGCCCTGCAGGACCCGGCCGACACGCCCGTGCATGTGAGTGAGAGGAGAGGAGTGTGGGTCAGGTGGGGCTGGTAGGGCTGGTAGGCTAAGTGTGTGGGTCCTTGGTGCCTCGGCCAGGCTGGCAGGCTGGCAGGCTGGGTGGATGGGTGGACCCCTCACCACCTCCGCCATGCCTCTCAGCATCATGATTCAGCCGTTCGCCCTGCAGGACCCGGCTGACACGCCCGTGCATGTGAGTGAGAGTAGCGTGGGTGGGTGGGGTAGGCTGATTGGTATGCATCAACGCTGCAAGGCATGCACCAACCCCTTCATGCCCTGCCAAGCTGAACAATCATTAATTTATTCACGCACTGCCGCACCTTCTGTCATCAACCCTTTCCTCTCTCCCTCTTCCATAAACCTTCTGTCACTGTCTCTCCAGGTGGTAGACTTTGGAGAGATGGGGCCCGTCAGGTGCCACCGCTGCAAGGCATACATCAACCCGTTCATGCGATTCGTGGACCACGGGAGGAAGTTCATCTGCAATCTGTGTGGTGCGTGAATTGGTGAAGGGAGAGAGGGGAGGGGTGGGGCTGGGAGGTGGGGCTGGGAGAGTGGGTGGGAGCAAGAGTGCAAGGCGTACATCAACCCCTTCATGCGATTCGTGGACCACGGGAGGAAGTTCATATGCAGTCTCTGTGGTGCGTGAATTGGTGAAGGGAGAGAGGGGAGGGGTGGGGCTGGGAGGTGGGGCTGGGAGAGTGGGTGGGAGCAAGAGTGCAAGGCGTACATCAACCCCTTCATGCGATTCGTGGACCACGGGAGGAAGTTCATATGCAGTCTCTGTGGTGCGTGAATTGGTGAAGGGAGAGAAGGGAGGGGTGGGGTTGGGAGAGTGGGTGGGGTTGGGAAGGTGGGTGGGAGCAAGACTGCAAGGCATACATCAACCCGTTCATGCAATTCGTGGACCATGGGAGGAAGTTCATATGCAACCTATGGGGTGAGTGGGAGGAGAGAGAGAGAGCGACAGGGAGTTGAACTAGTTCTAGCCAAGGATAAGGAGAGAGAGGATTGGAAGGGTAAGGCATACATCAATCAACCCGTTCATGCTATTCGTGGATCATCGGAGGAAGCTCATCTGTAACCTGTGCGGTGTGTGAGAGGGGAGAGAGGAACTGGTTATGGTACAAGGATGAGGAGAGAGAGAGAGATGAGGGAGAGGGCAAGGCATGCATCAATGCATTCATGCGATTCGTGGATCATGGGAGGAAGTTCATCTGTAACCTGTGTGGTGAGTGGGAGAGTGGGAAGAGAGAAGGGAGAGGTGGGGTTGGGAAGGTGGGTCAACCTCCCCTCATCCTCATCCCCCTCTTTCCACCTATTCCTCGCTCCCACCAGGCGTGTCCAACGAGACTCCCCGCGAATACGTGTGTAATCTCGGTCCGGATGGCAGCAGGAGAGATGTTCCCTTTTCTTGATTGTCGAACCTGCCTCCTCGTCCCTCTCTCCCCCACCAGGCGTCTCCAACGAGACTCCCCGTGAGTACGTGTGCAACCTCGGCCCGGATGGCAGGCGACGAGACGCGGACGAGAGGCCAGAATTGATGCACGGGAGCGTGGAGTTTGTGGCTCCCAAGGAGTACTCGGTGAGTGCAGCTGTGGGCTCTGTGAGTGCTCTACGTTCTTTCAAGTGCGCCTAGGCTAGGGTGCATGCATGCATGCATGCATGGCCAGTCCGTGGATCTGCTTCTGGAGCTGCCTCTGCAGCCTCTTCTGCCTCTGCAGCCTCTTCTGCCTCTGCAGCCTCTTCTGCCTCTTCTGCCTCTTCTGTCTTGCCACTTTCCATCTTCTTCCAAATCTGCCGCGCTTTCTTCCCTCTTTGTCCACCCCATTCCACCCGCTCTCATTCAGATCCGTGATGCCACGCCACCAGTCTACTTCTTCCTTCTTGATGTCTCTTTCAACGCCGTTGCCTCGGGAGCTGCTTCTGCTGCCCTACGATTTCAGTGCTCCCACACTTCTCCTCTTGCCCTAATCCCCACCCACACTCTCCCCTTTCCTCCTCGCCCACATATCAGATCCACGATGCCATGCTGCCAGTCTAGTTCTTCCTTCTGGACGTCTCTTTCAACGCCGTCGCCTCTGGGGCTGCCTCTTCTGACGCTGCTGCCTTGTCACTTCCCCTCCTCTGAGCACTTCTGCTGCACACCCTTTTCCACACACCCAAACATCAGATCCGCGATGCCATGCCCCCGGTTTACTTCTTCCTGCTCGATGTTTCTTTCAACGCTGTGGCGTCCGGGGCTGCCTCGGCTGCGTGCTCCTCCATCTCTCGCATTCTGCAGGACCTGCCTGTGAGTGTTCTGTGCTGCCATCACTCTAAAGTACAAATTGCGTTGCACTAACCAAGCTCAAGCCGCGAGTTTGTGAGATCCTGCAGGACCTGCCTGTGAGTGTTTAGCTGCTGCTTCACCACAGAAAGAGAGAAGCCACGTGTCAACAGCGTTGTTTTGAGACGCCTTGTCGTGTGCCATAGTAACGAGGTGACTTTTGAATCGACTCAAAAGTCACCTTGTAAACAGAGTTGTTTTGAGACGTCTCAAAACAACTCTGTTTACACCTGCCTGTGAGTGTTTAGCTGCTGCTTCACCACAGAAATTGTGTTAACTGACCAAGCTTAACCCTCGAGTCACAATTGGAGCTGCCTCGGCTGCATGCTCCTCCATCTCTCGCATTCTGCGGGATCTCTCGCATTCTGCGGGATCTCTCGCATTCTGCGGGACCTGCCTGTAAGAGTTTGACTTTTGAGGCGCCTCAAAAGTTCTGCAGGACCTGCCTGTAAGAGAGACACGATAACAATTTGGACATGTTTCCTCCGTGAGAGAGACGAATTCACCATGCCCATGAGCTTTTCTTTACCCCAATTTGCCACCACCGTTGCTCACCCCTCTTCACCCCTCTCAGGAGGGTCGCACGCTTGTTGCATTCGCCTCTTTCAACACCACCATCCACTTATTCAGCGTTAACAGCTCCCTGTATCTGGCTACACCATTTACCCTGTGCCCCTCTCCACGCCTCTTCACCCCTCTCCACCCCCACTGCATCACTCCTCTCCCAGGAGGGCGGTCGCACGCTCGTTGCCTTTGCCACCTTCAACTCCACCATCCAATTCTACAGCCTCAACAGCTCCCTGGCGCAGGTGAGAAATACAAATTACGAATTTGTTCGTGGGTCTTAGCCACAGCTGTAACGGCGACTTGTAACGAGTGACTTGTAACGGTGACTTGTAACGGTGGGCCGTAACCGTAACTTGACTTGTAACACTCATGGTACATCTACCCATATGCACTGGTGGTGCTGCTGTTGAAGGTCATAAGCCCCTGCCATGTGGCATTATTACCCCTGTAACTGTAAGTAACCCTCTTGCCCTCTGACCCCATAGAGGTCATGTGGCCTGTATGTAAGTAACCCTCTTGCCTCCCCACCTGCAGCCGTACATGCTGGTGGCCCAGAGGTAGAGGACGTGTACGCCCCCCTGCCGTCCGACCTCACCAAACCTTACTGTACCACTTATCGTCCCCTACAAACCCCCCACCCACCCCTGCCTTTCCCCCTGCAGCCGTCCATGCTGGTGGTACCAGAAGTGGAAGACGTGTACACTCCCCTGGCATCAGACCTTGCCAAACTTTCCCCATCACAACCCGTGCCCCCCTCCCGCCTCCAGCCGTCCATGCTGGTGGTGCCTGAAGTGGAAGACGTGTACACTCCGCTGCCCTCTGACCGCATCGTGCCTGCACGCACCCACTTCCCCCCTCCTCCCCTCCCTTTCATCTCCCGCCTCCAGCCGTCCATGCTGGTGGTGCCTGAAGTGGAAGACGTCTACACCCCCCTGCCCTCTGACCTCATCGTTCCGCTTGACGAGGTAGAGTCCTGTAGCCATGTAGACTGGGCGAGCAGCAGTCAGAAGAATTTAAGGAAAAGAGCTCCAGAGGTGGAAGGGCGTATACACTCCGCTGCCCTCTGACCTCATCGTTCCGCTTGATGAGGTAGAGTCCTGTAGCTATGGTATGCTTGAGTCGGAGCTTCACTGACCCATGACACTCCCATGATGATCAGGCCATGGGATGGGAGGTCATGTCATTCCCATGCCGTTCTACCTTATTATACTGTTTGATGAGGCGGGCTTTAGTTAGAAGCGGCAATCATTGCACAGATGTTTGCCATGGGATGGGAGAATTCTTAAATGTCAGAATAACACGCGTTGCTGTTTCTTGCCCCCTGAAACGATCCCCTGCGGGCCCTCATTTCTACCCCATGATGCTGCAGGGTGTTTTTGAGAATTCTCACAAACACCCTGCAACCCTACGCCCTCTTATTCCCCTGTCATCCCTTCCCATCCGTTCTCATCCCCTCTCATCCGTTCTCATTCCCTCTCATTTCCTCTCATCCCCTCTAATCCCCTCTCATCCTCATCCCTTCTCATCCTCATTCCCCCATCAGGCGCGGGAGCGGCTGCAGCAGCTTCTGGAGTCGATTCCTCAAATGTTTGCTGAGACTCGCATGGCTGACTGACTCGTGCCTGATACGAGCCCCTTTTGAGTCGACTCAAAAGTCACCTCTTTTGAGTCGACTCAAAAGTCACTATGTTTGCAGAGACTCGCGTGGCTGACTGACTCGTGCCTGATACGAGCCCCTGCCTGCCCTCTCTACCCTCTCAACCCGAAACCCTCTCATCTCCTCCCCTCCTTTTGTTCCCCCATCAGGCGCGGGAGAGGCTGCAGCAGCTGCTGGAGTCGATCCCCCAGATGTTTGCAGAGACACGTGTGGCTGACTCATGCCTGGGCGCAGCGCTGCAGGTGGGTGATTGAGGAAGGGGGAAGGGAGGGGCAGCGTTGCATTGCAGGAGTGTGGGTGGGTGTGCTTTGTTTGTGCGTGGGTGCGGGAGCAACTGCAGCAGCTGCTGGAGTCAATAATATAGATTTTTGTCGAGACACGTGTCGCTGACTCATTCCTGGGGGCAGCGCTGCAGGTGAGTGTGTTTTCTGTGCATGCGTGTGTCTGGATAGGGGATGGGTCGGTGTGGGAGCGGCTGCAGCAGCTGTTGGAGTCGATTCCTCAGATGTTTGCCGAAACACGTGTTGTTGACTCATGCCTGGGAGCCGCGCCGCAGGTGAGTGTGTGCATTGCGGGTGTGTGTGGGGAGAAAGGTATGTGTGGGGGTGCATAATTGTTAGGGGTGTTTGCAGAGACTTGAGTCGCTGACTCATGCCTGGGAGAAGCGCTGCCAGGGGGCTGGCAAGGTTTTTTGTCACCCAGCTTGCCAGGGGTGCTAATTCTTCTATTCACCCCGTTTGCGTTTTTTTGTTCCTCCCACTCTCCTCTCCTCTCCCACTGCCTCCTCGTCTGCCACTCCTCTTCTCTCTCTCTCTCTCTCTCTCTCTCTCTCTCTCTCTCTCTCTCTCTCTCTCTCTCTCTCTCTCTCTCTCTCTCTCTCTCTCTCTCTCTCTCTCCCTCCAGGGTGCTTTCCTAGCCATGAAGAAAACAGGAGGCCGGATCCTAGCCTTCCAGTCAGGTACTATTGCCCATTCCAGCTAGCTCGGCAGATACTGCCTTTCATACGCACCCACAATGCTGGCACATCTGGTCCTCTAGCTGGATACTTGAATCGTGTGTATTCATGTACCCGTGTCTCGTTTTCGGAATAGGCTCGCAGCGCATGAGCTGGAAAAAGTCATTTCGTTGCAGCCAAACGACAAGATGCAAGGCCTTTGCTGTGGGGCTTCCCTTCTCTCCCCAGCCCTCGTTCCCTGCCCCTCCCTCTCCTCGTCCACCTCTCCCCTCTGCGGGAATCGGGTCGCTCTTGTCTCGAGAATCCAGAGGGAGGGCAAGCGCGTTAGTGGCGGATAAAGACGTGCTGAGGCTGCTGAAGCTGCTGCAGCTCAACGACAAGCAGCTCACATCCTTCCCCCCCCTCTTCCTTCTACCCCGTCCCACCTTCCCTGTTCCTTCTGCCCCGTCCGCAGTTCTTCCTTCTGTTGGCATCGGATCACTTTCCTCTCGGGAAGCAGAGGGACGAGCAAACGCCACCGTTGCAGATAAAGACGTGCTGAAGCTGCTGCAGCCAAATGACAAGCAGCTGAGGCCGATGGCGGAAGAAATGGCAGATTTCCAAGTGGCGGTGGATGTGTTTCTGACCACGCAGGGGTTCGCCGATGCAGCTTCGATTGCTGTCATTCCCCGGATCACAGGCGGACAGGTGAGGCAGTGGTAGGGCTTGCAGTGGGGATGGGGGAGGTGTTGATGGGAGATGCGAGGCTGATGGCGGAGGAGATGGCGGATTTCCAAGTGGCGGTTGACGTGTTACTAGACGTCTCAAAATTGTGATTGAAGAAGTGTTTTGAGACGTGTCAAAATTGTGATTGAAGAAGTGTTTTGAGACGTGTCAAAACACTTGTTCAATCAGATGCGAGGCGGATGGCGGAGGATATGGCGGACTTCCAAGTGGCGGTTGGTTGACGTGTTTCTGACCACCCAGGGGTTCGCCGATGCCGCTTCCATCACTGTTATTCCCTGGATCACAGGGGGGCAGGTGAGGGCATTCATTGCTCTCTTCTGCACACTCTCGTTCCGCAATTCGGCACATAACCTCCCTTCCCTCGTGCACAGCCTCCCCCTCTCCCTTCCCCCCACTTCCCCCCTCCCCCCTTCACCCTTCAACACCAGCCAGCTCTACAGCTTCTATCCCTTTAGTGCAGCTCAGGACAGGGGTAAGCTGCATAACGACCAGTGCTGGGCTGTGAGACGGCCCTTCAACTCATCGAGAACCTCGTCTCACACACTTCCCGTACCTTCTTTCACCTCCCCATAAACCTCCCCACCACTCCCCCCCCCCAGCTCTACAGCTACTACCCCTTCAGTGCCGCTCACGACGGGGGTAAACTGCATAATGACCTGCGCTGGGCCGTGAGACGGCCGCACACGTTCGAAGGGGTTATGAAAGTGCGGTGCAGCCAGGTGAGAACAACAGACCAGACAGTTGAGATCTCAGGTGAAAACAACAGACGGGGCTATGAGACGGCCGCATACGTTCGAAGGGGTTATGAAAGTGCGGTGCAGCCAGGTGAGAACAACAGATCAGACAGTTGAGATCTCAGGTGAAAACAACAGACGGGGCTATGAGACGGCCGCACACGTTCGAAGGGGTTATGAAAGTGCGGTGCAGCCAGGTGAGAACAACAGACCAGACAGTTGAGATCTCAGGTGAAAACAACAGACGGGGCTATGAGACGGCCGCACACGTTCGAAGGGGTTATGAAAGTGCGGTGCAGCCAGGTGAGAACAACAGACCAGACAGTTGAGATCTCAGGTGAAAACAACAGACGGGGCTATGAGACGGCCGCACACGTTTGAAGGGGTCATGAAAGTGCGGTGCAGCCAGGTGGAGACAACAGAGCAGGCAGGTGGGCTCAGGTGGAGACAACAGAGCAGGCAGGTGGGCTCAGGTGTCTGACGACTTCTGCAACTTCCATCGCTGCATCCCTGCAGACTAGTTCGGTATTATTGAGAATTCTCAAGATTTCCCTGCATGCGCTTACTGATACAACCTCTCCTTTCCTCCCTCCCTTTCTCCCCCACACCCTCTCTGCAGGGCCTGTCTGTGTCCGGTTACTTTGGCAACTTCCATCACCACATCTCTGCAGATAATTCGTTAGGCAGGTCAACAATATGAATCTGTCCGCGTCCCTTCCCACTTATCCCCCGCGCCCTCTCTGCAGGGCTTGTCCGTGTCCGATTACTTTGGCAACTTCCATCGCCGCATCCCTGCTGGCCAATCATACTGCCCACACCACCGTTTCCTCCCCTCCTTCCCCCCCCGCCCTCTCTGCAGGGCCTGTCCGTGTCTGATCACTTTGGCAACTTCCATCACCACATCGCTGCAGATAATTCGTTAGGCAGGTCAACAATATGAATCTGTTCGCGTCCCTTCCCACTTCTCCCCCGCGCCCTCCTGCAGGGCCTGTCTGTGTCCGATTACTTTGGCAACTTTCACCGCCGCATCCCTGCCGAAATATATCTGCCAGCGGTGCGTCCCTCTGAGTTGTTTCGGGCAATTTATTATGTGGGGATCTTTTTGAGGCGCCTCAAAAGTCATTCTGTTACGTTTGGATCTTTTGAGGCACCTCAAAATTCTTTCTGTTACGTTTGGATCTTTTGAGGCGCCTCAAAATTCATTCTGTTACGTTTGGATATATTTGAGGCGCCTCAAAATTCCTTCTGTTACGTTTGGATCTTTTTGAGGCGCCTCAAAATTCATTCTGTTACGTTTGGATCTTTTTGAGGCGCCTCAAAATTCATTCGGTTACGTTTGGATCTTTTGAGGCGCCTCAAAAGTCATTCTGTTAGGTTTGGATCTTTTTGAGGCGCCTCAAAAGTCATTCTGTTACGTTTGGATCTTTTGAGGCGCCTCAAAATTCATTCTGTTACGTTTGGATCTTTTGAGGCGCCTCAAAATTCATTCTGTTACGTTTGGATCTTTTGAGGTGCCTCAAAATTCCTTCTGTTACGTTTGGATCTTTTGAGGCGCCTCAAAATTCATTCTGTTACGTTTGGATCTTTTGAGGCGCCTCAAAAGTCATTCTCTTACGTTTGGATCTTTCTGCTTCTTTGAGCTTTTGGACTTTCACAATGACGACCCTTGCTGCCTGTCCTGGCCCCACCCTGTATTGTCACGTGCTCATATAATCACGCTCATTCAATCACGTGTGTATAATCACATTTCAATGGACAGCGACAAGGTCATTATGGAAACCATTAAACACACTGTTAGGCGTGTCACCACATTAGTACCCTCTCTCCCTTCCCTTCCCCCCCCTTCGCCCTCCCCCTTCCCTGCCCTTCCCCCTCCGCCTTCCCGGGCACCCTTGCTCCCCTTTAACCACACCCAGATGGACAGCGACAAGGCCACCATGGCAACCCCAAGCATACCGTTAGGCATGTTATCACATTAGTACCCTACCCTCTCCCCCCCTCGCCCTTTTCAACCACACCCAGATGGACGGCGACAAGGCCACCATGGCAACCATCAAGCCGTTCCTGCTCTCACCCTGTGTTGTCACATCCTCCTCTAATCACTCCTGTGTTGTCACATCCTCCTCTAATCACTCTCATACAACTACACTTCTCCCCCCTTTTTTTACCACACCCAGATGGACAGTGACAAGGCCATCATGGCAACCGTCAAGCACGATGAGAAACTCGCAGAGAACAGCGAAGCCTGCTTTCAGGTGGGCCTTTGTTGCTTCCAGGTGGGTCTCTGTTGCTCTCAGGTGGGTCTCTGTTGCTCTCAGGTGGGTCTCTGTTGCTCTCAGGTGGGCCTCTGTTGCTCTCAGGTGGGTCTCTGTTGCTCTCAGGTGGGTCTCTGTTGCTCTCAGGTGGGCCTCTGTTGTTCCCGTGTTGGTCTTTCTTGCCCACCACTACTCCCACGTCTAAGTTTTGTTTCTTTCCCCTCTAACTTATTCTCACTTACCCCTCCCTCTGCAGTGCGCCTTTCTCTACACCACCACCACGGGGGAGAGGCGCATGCGAGTGCACACCCTCTCGCTGCCCACCCCACCACTCTCTTCCGTACCCTCCCCTTCATCCCCTCTCCTGCCCTGCATGTCCCCCCCTTTCTCCCTCCCTGCAGTGCGCCATTCTCTACACCACCACCACGGGGGAGAGGCGTGTGCGAGTGCACACCCTCTCGCTGCCCACCACGGCCTCTCTGGCCTCTGTGTTCCGCGGGGCTGATCTGGACGCGCAATTCGCGTACATGCTCAAGACAGGTGGGTTGGGGACGGTGAGGAGTGGTGAAGAGGGATAGTGTAAGGGGGTGTGTGTCTCTTGAGTGCACACCCTCTCGCTGCCCACCACGGCCTCTCTGGCCTCTGTGTTCCGAGGGGCTGATCTGGACGCGCAATTCGCGTACATGCTCAAGACAGGTGGGTTGGGGACGGTGAGGAGTGGTGAAGAGGGATAGTGTAAGGGGGTGTGTGTCTCTTGAGTGCACACCCTCTCGCTGCCCACCACGGCCTCTCTGGCCTCTGTGTTCCGCGGGGCTGATCTGGACGCGCAATTCGCGTACATGCTCAAGACAGGTGGGTTGGGGACGGTGAGGAGTGGTGAAGAGGGATAGTGTAAGGGGGTGTGTGTCTCTTGAGTGCACACCCTCTCGCTGCCCACCACGGCCTCTCTGGCCTCTGTGTTTCGAGGGGCTGATCTGGACGCGCAATTCGCGTACATGCTCAAGACAGGTGGGTTGGGGCTGCATGTGCAACACTGGTGTGTTGTGAAGGGGTTTAGATGTGTTTGTAAGCACACCCTCTCGCTGCCTTCTATTGCTAGCCTCTGTGTTCCGCGGGGCTGACCGGGCACCCAATTCGCGTACGCGCCCAAGACTGCTGGTTCCTGCACCCTTTGCTTTCCCCCTTTTGCACCCCCCTACAGCTGCTGACAAGCAGTGCGGACGGCAGTGAGCAATGAGCAGTGAGCATTTCGTTTCCTGTTCCTTCCGTCCCCCAACTCTCCTCTCCCTCCTATAGCTGTTATGGACGTGGTAAGTAGACCACCCGGTGCAACCAGTGCGGGATGCAGCAGAGCAGACTTTTGAGGCGCCTCAAATGCAGCAGAGCAGACAGCAGTGAGCATTCTCCACACCTACCGCTTCAACTTCTGTCATTCTTTCACTCTCTCCCTCTTCCTCCCCCTCCCCCCGCCTCTCCTACAGCTGCTGCGGACGTGGTAACCCACCCGGTGCAGCCAGTGCGAGACGCAGCAGTGCAGGCGGCAGTGAGCATTCTTCACACCTACCGCAAGTTCTGTTTATCCTTTTGCTCTCCCCATCCCCCTTCAACCTCTTCTCCTCTCCCCCCTACAGCTGCTGCGGATGTGGTAACGCATCCCGTGCAGCCAGTGCGAGACGCAGCAGTGCAGACGGCAGTACGCATTCTCTACACCACAACTACCACTGCAAGTCCCATTTCGTATTTTCCTTTTCCCCATTCCTCTCTCTTTCCTGCAGCTGCTGCGGACGTGGTGACTCACCCTGTGCAACCAGTGCGGGACGCAGCAGTGCAGACGGCAGTGAGCATTCTCTACACCTACCGCAAGTTCTGTGCCACTGCCTCATCTTCTGGGCAACTTATCTTGCCAGAAGCACTCAAGCTGCTGCCCTTGTACACCCTGGGTGAGTGGTGGTAGTGTGGTTGAGTGAAGTATCCTTAAGCGCCCTGCCTCAGTCCTTCCATTCTATTCTCCACACCTACTGCAAGTTCTGTGCCACTACCTACCTCCTCCTCCGGGCAACTTATCTTACCAGAGGCCCTCAAGCTGCTGCCTCTTAACACTCTGGGTGAGTGGTGCGGAGGGGTTGAGTAGATCCATCTAAGTATGCAAGATGCAGGCACACCACAAGCAGTAAGCAGTTCAAGTGCAGACAGCAGTGAGCATTCTCTACACCTACCGAAAGTTCTGTGCCACTGCCTCATCTTCTAGGCAATCGATTCTCCCATCATCCGATCACCCCACCTTCTTCCAGCACTTGTCAATTCAAGCCGCAGGGTGTGAGGGAAGACTTTTGAGGCGCGGCGCCTCAAAAGGGGGTTCCAGCACTTGACTTTTGAGGCGCCTCAAAAGGGGGTTCCAGCACTTGACTTTTGAGGCGCCTCAAAAGGGGGTTCCAGCACTTGACTTTTGAGGCGCCTCAAAAGGGGGTTCCAGCACTTGACTTTTGAGGCGCCTCAAAAGGGTGTGAGGGAAAACGTGAAGATGGACGAGCGGGCGGCGTGGCTGGCAAGAGTGCGCACCAGCTACTTGCTGGAGCACAGAGGACAGAGTACTTGTTGTTGCCAACACATCTCGTATCGCTGTCCTCTGCGCACTCCCCTTCCTCCGCCCCATCACCCCACCATCCCAACCTCACCACAGCCCTCCTCAAGTCACAGGGTCTGAGGGGAGACGTGAAGGTGGACGAGGGCTCCGCCTGGCTGGCGAGAGCTCATCCCCATCAGCACCTCTCGGCGATTCCCTGCCACTATGTTCCACCATCCCCATCACCACTATGTTCCATTCCACTATCCCCATCACCACTATGTTCCATTCCACCATCCCCATCACCACTATGTTCCATTCCACCATCCCCATCACCGCCCCCCCTTGCCACCACCCCTACCCCCCCTCTTTCCCCCCCAGCGCTCCTCGAGTCACAGGTTCTGAGGGGAGACGTGAAGGTGGACGAGCGGTCGGCCTGGCTGGCAAGAGTGCGCACCAGCTACTTGTTGCCAACACGTCTCGTATTTCCGTCCTCTGTGCACTCTCCTTCCTTGACCCCCATCCCTCCATCACCCCATCCCCCCCTCCTCCAGCCCTCCTCAAGTCACAGGGCTTGAGGGGAGACGTGAAGGTGGACGAGCGGCCGGCCTGGCGGGCGAGAATGAGTACCTCCTCTTAACGCATCTCGTATCTCCGTCCTCTCTGCACCCCCCTTCCTTCGCCCCATCCTCCCATCACCCCAATCTCGCCCAGCCCTCCTCAAGTCGCAGGGTCTGAGGGGAGACGTGAAGGTGGACGAGCGGTCGGCCTGGCTGGCGAGAGTGCGCCCCCTCTCTGCGTCGCTCTCTGTGCCCTTGGTCTACCCGCGCCTCTTTGCCCTGCACCACCTGCTCAAGGACGCAGCGAATCAGGTGAGATGACATTCTGTGAATGAAGGGAATTGATTTTATATGCACATAAAGTCGGCCTGGCTGGCGGGAGTGCGCCCCCTCTCTGCCTCGCTCTGCGTGCCTCTCGTCTACCCGCGCCTCTTCGCCCTGCACCACCTTCTCAAGGATGCCGCCAACCAGGTGAGTGTCACCTCGTTGCACCTCGCTTTACCGCTCTGCACCTCTTATCACCTCCTCCTGCAGCGTTCTGCACCCCTCTCTGCGTCGCTCTGTGTGCCTCTCGTCTACCCTCTCCTAGTCGCTCTGCACCCCCTTCTCAAGGATGCTGCCAACCATGTGAGCATCTCTGCACCTCTCTCTGCCACTCTGCACCTCCTGTCACCTCTCTTACCGGGTACCTCTCTCCACTGTCCGCCTTGCTCCGTGTGCCTCTCGTTTACCCGCGCCTCTTCGCCCTACTCCACCTCCTCAAGGACGCAGCGAATCAGGTGGGCATCTCTGCACCGCTGTCCACCACTCTGCACCTTTTGTCACCTCCCCCTGCACCACTCTGCCTCGCTCTGTGTGCCTTTCACCTACCCACGCCTTTTTGCCCTGCACCACCTCCTGAAGGACGCAGCAAACCAGGTAAGTTTCATTCACTACTGAGTGTACTTATCTACACCACCCTGCAACTGTTGACACGTCGCCCTGCATCCCTCTCTGCCTCACTCTGCATCCCTCTCTGCCTCACTCTGCGTTCCTCTCGTCTACCCGCGCCTCTTCGCCCTGCACCACCTCTTGAAGGACGCAGCCAACCAGGTAAATGACACCTCACTCTACTGCTCTGCACCTCATGTCACCTCCTCCTGCACCGCTCTGCACGCCTCTCTGCTCGCTCTGCATGTCTCTTGCCTACCTGCGCCTCTTCGCCCTGCACCACCTGCTCTGCTCTTAACTTCTTTCCCTCGTGTTTCCCCCTGCCGTCCGCACTGCCTCTCTAGAGTTTTGAGTCGACTCAAAACTCGACTTATCACACCCTGCCGTCCGCCCTGCCTCTCTCAAGCGAGAAGCTGGAGTCGGACGGGGTGTATCTGGAGGAGAACGGGGAGGAGGCCGTGGTGTGGGTGTGCTCAAGTGTTTTACTTTTCTCTCTTGCTTTGACCTCCCGCTTTCCCCTCTCCCATCTTTTCAGGAGCAGCAGAAGCAGCAGAACGGGACAGAGGAGGGGCAGGAGCAGCATGAGCATCTCCCCTCTGCGCGGCCCCTTTCCAGTGAAAAGCTGGAGCCGGATGGAGTCTTCCTGGTGGAAAACGGGGAGGAGGCGGTGGTGTGGGTGGGCTGATTCTCTGTTCTTGTCATCAAATCTCCCTCTTTGAACCCATGAGGAGAAGCAGAACCAGCAGAACGGGACAGAGGAGGAGCAGCAGCACGAGCACCTGCCGTCTGCTCTCCCCCTCTCCAGTGAAAAGCTCGAGCCCGACGGGGTGTTTCTGGTGGAGAACGGGGAGGAGGCGGTGGTGTGGGTGGGCTCAAGTGTTTTTCTTTTCTCTCTTGCTTTGACCTCCCGTTCTCCCTCTCCCATCTTTTCAGGAGCAGCAGAAGCAGCAGAACGGGACAGAAGAGGAGCAGCAGCATGAGCACCTGCCGTCCGCGCTCCCCCTCTCCAGTGAAAAGCTCGAGCCGGATGGAGTGTTTCTGGTGGAGAACGGGGAGGAGGCGGTGGTGTGGGTGGGCAGGGAGGCGGACAGCCATCTGCTCTTTGACCTCTTTGGCCTGCGATCCGTTGATGAGATTGCCCCCGGCCCGGTGAGTGGCAACTCTTTACGCGCTTGACTTGGGTTGACTTTCTTGACTGGTGGAGAACTGGGCGGACAGCCATCTGCTGTTTGACCTCTTTGGCCTGCAATCCGTCGATGAAATCGCTCCCGGCCCCGTGAGTGGCGTGGCACCTCTTGACCCGCTTGACTTGGGTTGACTTGCTTGACCCAATCGACTGGATTCAGTAGCATGGCTTTCCTTGACCTGTTTGACCCCTCTGGGTTGCGTTCTGTCGATGAAATCGCTCCCGGCCCCGTGAGTCCCCGCGCCTGCCACCTGCTCTTGCCCCGCTTGTCACTTGACTTGGGTTGACTTTCTTGACTGGCTGCAAGAGTTTGACAACCCTGCATCGCTCAAGCTGAACGTCCTTCTGAACTGGATCGCCCCTTCCATCTCCTCTCTCGCCTTCTCCTACTACCCCCCCCTTCCACCTCTCTCCTATGCCCCTAATCTCCCCCCTTCCACCTCCTCTCTCCTCTTCTCCTAGTCTCCCCCGTTTCACCTCTCTTTCCTGCTCCTTCCCGTCACCCTTCCATCCTGCCCATCCCGCAGTTCCTGCTGCAAGAGTTTGACAACCCTGCATCGCGCAAGCTCAACGCCATTGTGAACGAGATTCGTCGCCAGCGGTGCTCGTACCTCAGGTGAGCGGCTTACAAAGAGTATGGGAGGCTTATAAGGGGTATAGGAGGCTCGTAAGGGTATGGGAGGGTTGTTAGGGTATGGGAAGCGCATATGAACCTATGGGAGACTTACAAGTTGTGTGGAGAGGCTTGTAGGGAGGATCGATGCTAACAGAACAGGTTAAGGTTAGATGGGAGGGGAAATGGAAGGTGTTGCCTCCGAGTTGTTTCGTTTCTGTCACTCTTCTGCCATGAATCACTCTGTTCTGGCCCCCAACCTCTTTGGCGTTTTCACGTACCCACCCACACCCACTGCAACCACACCCACACGCACACGCACACACACACCCACACCCACACGCACACCCACACGCACACCCACACCCACACCCAGCTCCACCCGACCCCCCCCTCCCCTCTCCCCCCTCCCCTCTCCCCCCTCCCCTCTTTCCTCTTCCCCATCCCCCACACATGCACTAATCTCCCTTCCCCCCGCATCCTTTAACCAAACCTGCAGGCTTCGGCTTCTCAAGAGAGGTGATCCATCAGGTATGAGATTGCATTCCTTTAACATTAAAGGTCATATGTATAAGACTGTGTTTCTTGTGCGGCTTTCCTCCCTTATGTGTCTCTTCGTTCTTACTCATCGCCTCACTGGCCTTTCCATCCGTCCAGTGCAGTAACACTAACTTATTGTGCAACGCTTTATTTGTGTACGTTTGATGCCTTTCATCCCATGTGTCACATCAGAGAATCTTTTCTTTCAAACGCTGGTCGAGGACCGTTCGCCGTCGGGGATGTCCTACGTGGAGTTTTTGGTGTATGTGCACCGGCAAATACAAAACAAGATGGGATAGGAAAATCGACAGTGTATTGTAGCTTGAGCTTTTGACAATGGGAGCGGGACAGTAGGGAAATAGAGTGAGTATTTGATTAGATGTCTTCGAACTTGGCATTATTGGGGAACAGAAAGTGGCAGTAATGGTTTCCAACAATTTCTTATACATAGCAGTCCATATTATTCAGGTAGTGCGACTTTTACTTAGTAGTGTTATTAGTTTACTGATGTAAAGTTTCACGCACCCGCGCTGTGAGCTCTTCCCGCCAAGAAATTTGGAGGGCCTGCCGACACGCGGCTCGCGGAAACCTAGTTCAGGTTCGAGTTTCCCAGTGGCATACAGTGGGTTTGTGTGCGGCTTGCATGTGAGGTACGGCCGAGCCGGAAACGCTTGGGATGTTTCTAGGGAGACCGATCGATGGCGCGTATGCCACCGACATTGTCAGAGGTGTTTCTCCGCTAGGTTCCTAATTTCTTGCGAAAATTAGGAACACCGTCTCTTGCGAAACACCTTCCCTCGCACCGTCCATAATTGCCATCCCACCTTATTTATTTCTCGGATTATTTTGTTTTACTCTCTGTGAGTCAGCGAGGCGGTCCGTTTTCAGTCGCGGTAAACGGACAAATTGCCACTTGCGTCCTTTTCAGTGCCATGTAGGCAAGAGTCGTGTAAAGCGAAGTGATGCAATGAATACAGTCTTACCTGGTTGCCTTTGACGCGCCGACAGGACAGCACGTGGCGTTGACGACATCGTGTGTCCCTGTCATCACACGCACCAACACTGGGATCACCTTTCATCCATAGTGGTTTCCCTTTCCTGATATTATTCGTACCACCATAGCCTCGCAGCTATCTCTCTCCAAAGGCTGTCAAGTTAGCGAGTTAGAGCAGTAACGGCTCTTATCGACGTGGAACTTTCGAATCGACTCCGAAGGCTGTCAAGTTACAGAGCAGGAACGGCTCTTATTGACGTGGAACTTTCAAATTTACTCAAAAGTCACCTCCGTTTGGAGTAACGTCCTTTAGCCCCGCAGGACCCCCTGACACGTCAGCTCTACCGGTTGAGTCGGCTAGCCGCTGCTCAGGCTCCTCAGAACGCGAACCGCTATTTACAAGCTACCTGTCATAGAGTAGTAATTGCTTCAATCACCACTGCCCGTTACAGTCACGTTGACCAGTTACAATCAGAGACCCCCCGTTACAGGAACATTCCATAACCCGCTAGCACTCACCCGAACAATCACACCCTAAATTCGAATCCACTACGCACCTCACGGCTTCGATGGGAACTATTAGGCGGGCCATACGCCACGCGGGAAATATCCCTGCTAAAGTCGGCCCACTCTTAGGTCTGCTACTACTAAGCAGCAACTGCTGCCGGCCGTGCGACGCGCTGCCGGTGCAGTATCTGCGGCTCGGCTTTATTCTCCCGAGTCCCGAAGTCAACATCGGCATCACCAAACGGCTGGCGGACGAATGGTGAGTTACGCTCGTTACTGTCACACTCCTCTTACTCACACTCCTCTCACTCACCTTCCTCTCCTTCTCCCACCCTGCTCTCACTCTCTCACCTCCGCTCACTCACCCTTCTTGCTTTTCACCCAACACCCCCCTTGATGTCCCCTTCGTCTCTCTCCCCCCCTCCCGCCACCTCCCCTTCGTGTGTCTACCTCCATTCGCAAAGCCAGGAGCTGGTAGCTCTTTTCAAAGCGCCTCCTGAATCATCTCTCCCTCCCCCTCCCGCCGTCTCACCTCCGCGTCTCCCTCCATCTGCAAAGCGAGGAACTGGTAGCTCTTTCCAAAGCGCCTCTTGAGTCATCTCTCCCTCCCATCCCGCATACTTCCTCTCAGTACCTCCTTCCATTAACAAAGAACGGAGCTCTTGGCCGTTACCCTCCCGTATCAACTCCTCCCTCTGATTTGTACGCGCCGTTAGGATGTCCGCTACAAGGGTGGCGCTGGACGTGCTCGGGCCCCGTTATAATGCAACTTTTAATGTCATGCCAGTGGTGGAGGTGGTGCCGTGCAATAGCGAGGATGCAGCAGTGGCAGCAGAGGTAAGATTGACTTCAAATGGGAAAGGGGTGGAGAAGGGGGCGTTGGAAAAAGGTTGCACCTTATTTGTTAGTTGTTAGCTTTTAGGTTACAACTTTTTGAGTGAGGTTCGTCCCGACTGCTGTGGAGGGAGTCAACTCCTCGTGTCCTTGGGTGACTTTTGAGATGTCTCAAAATTCGTCTCAAGAGACGTCTCAAAAGTCAACTTTTTTAGTGAGCTTCGTCCCGACTGCTGTGGGGGGAGCCAACTCCACGTGTCCTCCGCTGCCTTTTGAGACGTCTCAAAAGTCGTCTCAATAGGCATCTCAAGAGACGTCTCAAAAAAAAATAAAAAATAGTGAGGTTCGTCCCGGCTGCTGTGGGGGGGGGGCACTCCATGAGTCCTCCGCTGCCTCAACCCCTCCCCTCACTACCCACTGCTCCCCTCTCCCATTCTCTCCTGCCCTCCCATTCTCTCCTGCCCTCCCATTCTCTCCTGCCCTCCCATTCTCTCCTGCCCTCCCATTCCCTCATGCCCTCCCATTCCCTCATGCCCTCCCATTCCCTCATGCCCTCCCATTCCCTCATGCCCTCCCATTCCCTCATGCCCTCCCATTCCCTCATGTCCTCCCATTCTCTCCTGCCCTCTCATTCCCTCATGCCCCCCCACTCCCCCATACCCTCCCATTTCCTCATGCCCTCCCGTCCCCTCCTTTATCCCTTCGCCTATCCGTTCAGCGACTAGCCTTAATGGACGTGGTGGGACCTTCCTGCTCCGAGGCAGTGAGGGGAGGCAACCCCGTACCCCCCATATACCCCATACTCGCCACATACTCTCCCCCTCCCCTCTCCCCCCTTCCACCCTCCTCCTCACAGCGTCTAGACCTGATGGACGTGGTGGGACCTGCCTGCTCCGAGGCAGGCAATCAAGGGAGCCAACTCCGTGCGCTCCTTCCCATCCACTCATGACATGACCCGTTCCTTTCCCCCCCTCCCCCCGTGTCCCCACTCACAGCGTCTAGACCTGATGAACGTGGTGGGGGTGGTGGGACCAGCGTGCTCCGAGGCAGTCAAGGGAGCCAACTCCGTGCTACAGCCTAAAGGGATCCCCTACGTGTCCTTTGCTGCTACTGCTGATGTGTTCAACACGCCAGATTATAACACGTTCTTCAGAACTGTGTGAGTGGGTGGGTGTGGGTGTGAATCGGTGGGAGTGGGTACTTGGGGTGGGGTGCTCTCTTTGTCTCGAGAAGGGATTCCGCAAAGGTATTCCCCTTCGCTGCTACTGCTGGTGTGTTCAACACCCCGGATTACAGCACGTTCTTCAGAACAGTGTGAATGGGTGGAGATTTGTGGGAGTCGGCGGTAACAGGTGCGAATGGGTGTGAAGTGGTGCTCTAGTTGCCTTGGTGTAATTTGCTCTTCCTTCCCGCACACCCCAAGAGGATTCCCTTCGTATCCTTTTCTGCTAATGCTGACGTGTTCAACACGCCGGATTATGACACGCTTTTCCGGATTGTGTGAGTGGGTGGAAATTGGTGTGACTGGGTGGTAATGGGTTGGAGTGTGAGGATGGGAATGGGATTCAGAATACTGAGAAGAATGACTTGCTCCAATATTCATCCTAGCCTTCCTTCCCCCACTTGCTCCTCTCCTTCCCTGTCCTCCTTACAAGCAGCTTCGCTGACAAGCACCAGGCCAGGGAAATCGCGGCGCTGATCAGATTCTTCCAGTTCAACGAAGTCCATCTGTTCTACTCCAACGAGATCTATGGCTCAGATCTCGCCTCCAAGATCCGTGCTGAGCTGGACGGCTCACTCATCCCCGTCAGCACCATCCCCGTCAGCTACCCCGTGGACGAGTTTGCGCCGCTCTTCGCTGACGTGGCGGTCGGGGAGAGGTCCATCTGCGTGCTCGCCGCCCTGCCAGCTGTCGCGGAGGGGTTCTGGCGGGCGGCTGTGAGGGAGGTGAGTAGATGGAGAGGTGGCGAGGGGTGAGTTGTGGGGAGAAGAGGGGGGGTAAAGGGAGGAGGGAGTAGGTAGGGGGAGGAGAGTAGGGGGGGAGAAGGGAGGGGGGTGCGAATGCAACTTCTCTGCGTTCTCCTCTGCGTTCTCCCTTCTCCACTCCCTCTCCTCGGACCTTAACTTTCCACCCCGGGTGGTTCCTTCCTTCCGATTGCGTTTGTCTTTGTTCAACCGTTATCTCTCCTCTCCCTTCCCCCCTCGCCGATCCCCCCTCTCCCTGTCTAACCAAAATTCCACTCGTTACCTCTGGTGTTGCTGATACCTTCATCCCTTGACTCACATGACGTTTTGCACTTTTCCTTCCATTCTCTTTTTTCTTTCTCTTGTCTCCCCAGAACTTCACTACCTACCCCTGGTGGTACCTGGGGACTGACGGCGTGGCAGCTCTTGACTTCGTTGACCAGTGTGAGCTTTCCCTCTCACTCTCTCACCCACTCTCTCACCTACTGTAACCACAGTGTAGGGTTACTTCCACAGCACAGGCACATTCTTACCTCGCAGCAATGGTCCAGGCTCGGCAAGCACCACTCTCACCTTTCTTTTGAGGCGCCTCAAAATTTGTCTCATGTCTCGTGGTTTTGAGGCGCCCCTAAACACAGCACAGGCACATTCTTACCTCGTAACAATGGTCCAGGCTCGGCAAGCAGCAGTCTCACACCTTTCTTCCTCCCCTCCCTCTCTCCCTGTTTCTCCGTCTCTTCCTTGTACAGCCGGGGAGAGGCTCGGAGGTATGGCCAGGTCACTGCAAGGGGAGATGGCTGTCGGTCCCAACAGTAAGTTCAGGCAGACCGAGTCAGGTACTTGTCACAATGTCAGGCAGACCATGTCAGTAAGTTGAGGATGTCTTTTGAGACGTCTCAAAAGCCAACATTAAGTTCAGGCAGACCATGTCAGGTACTTGTGACGATGTTAGGCAGACCATGTCAGGTACTTGTGACGATGTTAGGCAGACCATGTCAGGTACTTGAGACGATGTTAGGCAGACCATGTCAGTAAGTTCAGGATGTGCTTGACAGTGAGAGTTTATAGCAATCAATGGAGGAGGGTCGGGGCTTTCAATGGCTCTTCAAAAGCCCCGGCCTTTGTTCTCTTCACATATTGCCGCGGCGCACAAGTGGCCCTCATTCTTCCATTTCTCTCCTTTCCCTCCTCTCCCTCCTCCCCAGTGCCCTTTGAGAGTCCCAACTTGCGTCCATTCACGAACCACTGGAAGAAGCAAGCTGCGGACGATTACGTTGGGCTCATCAATGCGCCGACCACGCCAAAGGTAGGAGCACGCTTGAAGTTGACTCGGTTCCCAACCTGCGCCCCTTCACAAGCCACTGGAAGCAGCAAGCCGCAGACGATTACGTTGGGCTCATCAATGCGCCGACCACGCCAAGGGTGAGAAGATGCTTTGTGTGTGGCATTGTAACACAGTTGCTTCTGGGTCCCCTTGAAAGCACGAAGACTCAAAGGATGTTGGCTCAGCCCCCAACCTGCGCCCCTTCACAAACCACTGGAAGCAGCAAGCCGCAGACGATTACGTTGGGCTCATCAATGCGCCGACCACGCCAAAGGTGAGAGCATGTGACCTGCTGCCTGCTTCCTGCTCTCTGGTGTGTTTTGAGTCAACTCAACCTAACCTGTAAGCAGCAAGCCGCAGACGATTACGTTGGGCTCATCAATGCACCGACCACGCCAAAGGTGAGAAGATGTTTCGTGTGTGGTATTGTAAGGAGGCGACAAAAAACAGCTGTTCTGTCACAAGATTACTGTCTAGTCAACAAAAGGCAGGCGGCCTATGGTCATGTGGGGCTGGTCAATGCTGGTCAATGCAGTCAATGCACAAAGCCAAGCACCCCACCCCAAGGTGGGGAGATGTGTCTAGAGAAAACGCATCATCCTCAGCTCCTCCTAGCCCCAACCTGCGTCCGTTCACTGACCCTCACTGTCCCGCGCACCAATCGTTTCATTTTCCCCACTCACCCATTGTCTCAACGCCCTCTCCCTCTTCACTCAACCACGCACTCTCTCATTCACTCCTCAAGCCTAAAGGCGTCTCTCATTGAGCAATACAGACTGAGAGTCCATCGAATGACTATTACTTACAATTCCCCCCGGCACGCCATACAGTATAACGAGACGCGCTTATACGTGGCACATCTGATCGACTCCATCTGGGCCTTCTTCGAGGCATTTCGGAACATCATAGCCGTCCAAAACCGGGCGGTAACCGCGCAAGCCGTTCTTGAGTGCTTCCGAAACCAGCCGGCCGGTTGCGGGCGGTTCGAGGGAGCATCGGGAACAGTGGCGTTCAATACAGTCACGGGGGAGAGGCTGAAGCTAGATGGGATGCCAGCTTACAGTCTTTACAACTTGATTGGAAAGACGTGGAAGGTGAGTGTGTGTGTGACTGATTGCATTTGATACAATCACAGGCGAATGGTTGAAGCTAGACGGGGTTTCGGCTTACATTCTCTACAACCTCGCTGGCAAGACGTGGAAGGTGAGTGTAGTTGTGTGGTTGAGCATATGTGTGTGTGTAGAGGCAATAGGGGTAGGGATCAGGGGTAACGTGGGAGAGGTAGAAGCTGGATGGGGGGGGGTCCCTGCATGTGTACATTCTCTCTACAGTGTGACTGGGAAATTGGCGACTGGCACTATCCACCTACACTCCCCCTCCCATGCTCCCTCCACCTGTCTGTTGTATCTCCTCTCCTTCCTCCTGCCCGGAACCCTCTTCCTCCAGGAGAAACCCAAGTGGGTGTTGAACGGCTCAGATGGCGTCAAGCTGATGGATCCAACGGACTATGTCACTCGGCCAGGACCTCTGCCAGCTGGCTCGCTGTTGCCCTTGCAGCACCAGATTGTGGCTCCGTAGTAGCATGATATGGATAGTGTGACATTATGTTTTGTAGGTGTATGTGTGGTGCATTCAAACATCGAACACAATTTCCATGCTGAAATATCAGAGTCCGTCCAACAAACAGAAAATAAAATAAATACACCGACCTTGTGATTGGAATTGAAGGGTTGGGGGGACGTGGAAGGGCATATGACAATCTAGAAATAGAGAGTTTCAGCAGAGGAGGAAAAGAAACAAACAAGATGGACATTTTAGAAGCGTTACACTGGCTGTCAAATGTTGTAGCCTCTAGTGGGTCATGCTATATGGGGTACAAACAGTTAAGGTTAGGCATTTGTACCCCAACCCAATCAATCCAACTCATTCCGCTGTGTTTAGTTTCTGAGATGGTATCAGCAGTAGGTTCGCCGTTCCTAGGCCACACTTAGTCTCCGCCGTTCCTAGACTTCGGCCGTCACTAGCCTTGGCGTGAAACCCCCCCCCTCCTTCGTCTGCTATAAGCACGCTAGCCAGCACGCCCGCCAACGCCCTAGCCAGCAGGCCCGCCAGCGCCTTAGCCAGCAGGCCCACCAGCGCCCTAGCCAGCAGGCCCGCCAGCGCCCTAGCCAGCAGGCCCGCCAGCGCCTTAGCCAGCAGGCCCGCCAGCACCCTAGCCAGCAGGCCCGCCAACGCCCTAGCCAGCAGGCCCGCCAACGCGCACGCCAGCGCGCACGCCAGCGCCCACGCCAGCGCGCACGCCAGCGCGCCACGCCGGCGCGCACGCCAGCGCGCCATGCCAGCGCACCGCGCCGCACCGCCGCCCGCCTGTCCGCATTCAGCGCCGCCTGCCCACCTGCACGCCTGCGCGCTTGCCCACACGCCACTGACTGTCTCCCCCTCCCGCAGCTGGCAGCCGCGCTCTCTCAGTTTCACCCCCTATGACGACCTCCCGAGTACTTCGATTTGACCCTGAAGGGAGACTGATTGACTTTAATACGTGGCTTACGCAGGCGCAGCGCCACCTTAAGAGCCAGCGGCAGGATGGCGTCCACCTGTTCGCACACACGTCCGGCACTCAGACCGCCCCTCCGCAGCCTCAGCCGCTGCCCACTACCCCACCGCCTACTTCTGAGCAGGAGGCCGACTACCAGCGCCAGCTCCTCGCTCACGACGTGTGGGAGTCTCGTGACGTCGCTGCCTACCTCGCCCTGACCGACCTTCTCCCGCCGACAGAGGCAGTCCACTTCGCTCAGGTCGAGTCTGCTGCAGATCTGTATAAGGCTATTGTTACTCGCTACTCCACTCCCTCCTCTGCTTCGCTCAGTCGCCTCCTCGTACCCTTTATCTACCCTGACCTCGCCTTCTTTTAGACTGTCTCTGACCTCGCTACTCACCTGCGCTCCCTTGATGCTCGCTCGCTGCTTGCACTGAGGACCAGCTTGCCCTTGCCCCACCCCCTATGTGGCTCACTATTCACTGGCTAGTCACTTGCCTCCCTGACCGCCTAGCCGCAGCCCGCGACGCGCTTCTTCTGAAGCACCCCACTGAGCTTACCATCGATCTTCTTGAGACTGCTCTCTCGAAGATCGAAAGTAACCTCCTCACTGTTGCCTCTGCCTCTTCCACGCCTCCTCCTCGTCTTTTTGAGGGGTGTGCGATACCACAGCTTCACACCTTCTCTGCCTCACTTGCCACCCCCACGTCTTCGGCCTCTGAGAAGACGGCGGCTGTTTCTGTCTCTGGCGGGCAGAAACGTGGCAAGGCTGGTAAGAGGGGCGGGAAGGGCGGCGGGGGTACTGGAGGTGGTGCGGGTAGCGGTGGAGCAGGTGGTGGGAGTGGTGGTGGGGGTGGCTCGGGACCTGACGGCCCTCCTTTCGACGGTGGAGTTTTCAAAGGTGGTGAGGGGTCCCAACAGCAGCAGCAGCCGACTCCTCAGCAGCTGCCACCGCCTAGACAGCAGCACCAGCACCAGCAGCGACAGGGCCATTAGCAGCGCCCGCCACAGCAGCAGCCTCAGCAGTGGGGCCCTCTGCAGTAGTGGGGCCCTCCACAGCAGTGGGGCCCTCAACAACAGTGGAGGTCTGCGGGTCCCATTCTCCCTCAGCACCAGTGGAGGTCTTCGGGACTCGTATTGTGGCTGCCCCGACCACTCTGCTGTACGCTGCTTCAGTCGTCTCGACGACCTCTACCATTTGCACCACGGCCCCTCCGCTCCCCCGTCGCCACGCTGGGGGACACTTCTTGCTCGTGGTATTGTTGTTTTTGATATGACTATGGATGATGCTAGGTCATATGCCATGTATGTTGATGTTGACTATAGTGCTCCTGGATCTGTGTACTTGCCTGTACCTAGCTTAGGATCTTTGCCCGTTGCTAGAGTAGGTGCTAGTGTAGGATCTTGTTAAGCTACTAGTACAGGTACTCCCTCGACGGACGCCTCTCTCTCCTTCACACTGGACTCCGGAGCGTCACATTGCTTCTTCTGCGACTGCACGACTCTCTCTCCGCTATCGGCGCCTGTCCCTGTAGCACTGGCTGATCCCTCTTCGGGACCGGTCATTGCGACTCACGCCACTACACTCCCGTGCCCAGCTGCTCCTTCCGGTTCCCTGACTGGCCTTTACGTTCCTACGTTCTCTATGAACCTTGTCGGTGTGGGCACCCTGGCGAGACAGCACGTCGGGGTCTGGGTTGAGCCTTTTGTTGACACCGCGGTCTGTGTGGACGATGACATGTACGCCCCCTTGGCCACTTTTTGCCAGGAGCCAAGCTCCGGTCTGTACACCCTCCGCACCAACCCCCGTCAGGTTCCCCCGTCCCACCAGGTAGCCGGGTCCAGTCAGGTTGCTGTGTCAGGTGTAGTTGCTGCGTCGTGCTCGTGTCGGTCGCTTGCCTACCCCTCCCTCCTCTAGCACCACCGCCTTGGTCACCCTTCCGTCCCTCGTCTCCGTGCTATGTCCAGTCAGCGTCTTGTCTTAGGCCTCCCCCGAGTCCTCCCGCCACTCCCGCCGTCCCCAGCTCCTCCGTGCGGTCCTTGTGTCCAGGGTCGGCTGCGTGCCACCCCTCACTCCTCCTCCCTTCGTCCGGCCACCGAGCCCTTCGAGACTCTCCACTTAGACGTCTGGGGCCCCGCTCCCTGCCTTGGCCCTGCGCGTGAGAGTTTCTTTCTGGTGGTCGTTGACGACTACTCTCGGTACACCACCGTGTTCCCTTTGGCGAAGAAGTCCGACGTGACTTCTACGCTGATCCAGTGGCTCCTCGCCACCGAGGGCACTCGCGGTCGTCGTGTCAGTTGTCTTCACTTTGACCGTGGGGGTGAGTTTCGCTCCGGCATTCTCGCCAGATTCTGTACTGAGCAGGGCATCACCCAGTCCTAGACTCTTCTAGACTCTCCACAGCACAATGGGGTTGCTGAGCGCCGCTTAGGCCTGGTCATGGAGATCGCCCGCACCTCCATGATCTACGCCACCGCGCCCCATTTTCTGTGGCCCTACGCGGCTCGGTACGCCGCTCATAAGCTGAACCTCTGGCCTCGCGTCTCTCAGCCAGGGGCTTCACCGACCAGTCTTTGGACAGGGTCCCCTGTTGTTGCGTCGAGGTTTAGTGTCTGGGGCTGCTTGGCTCTTGTCCGCGACACCTCTGCGGACAAGATCTCGCCTCGCGCCGTCCCCTGTGTCTTCCTTGGTTTCCCAGAGGGCTCCTCTGACTTCACCTTTTACCACCCTCCCTCCCACCGGTTCTTTGACTCTCGTGACGTACGCTTCGACGAGTCCGTCCCCTACTACGTCCGGTACCCCTGTCAAGGTCTCCCGGTTCCCCCCCCTCCCCTCTTCCTGGCTCCAGCTCCTCCTCCTCCCGCCCCTACTCCTCCGGTACCCCCCCTGTTCCCGCTCCGTCTGGTGTGTCCCACGCTACTCCCCCCCCCTCGGTACCCCCCCAGGTCTCTCCTCCTTCCCCACAGTCGTCCTCACCGCCTTCGCAACAGCCGTCGGCGCTTCCTTTACCGGCAACTGCGGCCTCTGAGGGTGCTGGTGCTCGAGGTGAGGGCTCTGGCGGTGCTCGCTCTGGGGGTGTTGGCGTTGGAGCTGTTTGTGCACCTACAGGAGCAGCCAGTTCTGGGGGTGTTGGCGTTGGCGCTGAGCGTGCACCTGCCGCAGCTGCCCGTTCCGAGGGTACTGGAGCTGGTGGTGGTGCTGGAGCTGGTGGTGTTTCTGGAGCTGGAGAGTCTAGGGCTGGTGCTGGTGCCACTGAAGGCACCACGAATGGGGGTGAGGGTACACCTCCTACAGGTACTGGTCGTGCTGCCGCGGGAGGTACTCGCTCTGGGGGTGCTCAGCCGGGTACTGTTGAGGACGGAGCCGGTTCTTCAGCTGCGTCTCCCGACACCACTCCTCCTCACCCCTAACCGGCTCGTTACCAGGCCCTTCTTCGTCTAGAGCGTGAGGCGCAGCAGCGTTTGGAGCGCGAGAGGTCGGAGGTTCAGCAGCGGGTGGAGCGTGAGAGGTTGGAGTTGCAGCGGTAGCAGCAGCAGCAGCAGCAGCAGTAGCAGCAGCCGCAGCAGCCAGAGCAGCCTCCGGCCCCTGTTTCTAGCCTTCGGGCCCTTGGTCTCCCCTCCTCTCCTCCTGTTTTCGGTCCTAATTTTCCTCCTCCGGACTCAGCTCTGCCTGTGTTCCCTCGTTCTCAGTCTCCTACGTCTCCCTCTCCTCTCGCCCACACTTGGACCTCTTGTCCCCCTCTGCTCGTCCTTCGTCACTTGTCACTGACCTCTGTACCGTGTTGTTTCGTCCTAGTCCTCCTCATCCTCCTCCGTCTGTTCTTCCTCGTCCTCCTGAGTCGTCTCTCATTGCCTCCCTGACCACTCCGGTCACTGACTACTACTGCATGTACCGCCCTACTCTCTCTCGTGTTCTTGCCTCTCTTATTACAGACCCTCGTGCCTCTCCTTCCTCCGTCACGGTCCTCACTGCCGCTGTCACTGACTTTACTGCCACACGTCGCCTTGACTACGCCACTCGTGTTGTGGCCGCTCCTCCTGTCCGTCCTCTGTCCGCCGGGGGTGAGTCTGCCTTTGGCTGTGACGTCCTAGAGGATAGACAGTTTGAGCTAGAGTTCCTGGCAGCTGCTTCGCCTCATCTCTGTGCCATGCTCCTCGCTCCTGAGGGAGACCCCGACGCTCTTGACATACCTACTCCTCGCACTTACGCTGAGGCAGTGTTAGGGCCTTGGGCCTCTCAGTGGAGAGCTGTCATGGACGCAGAGATGGCCTCCTACAGGTCCACAGGCACTTACGTTGACGAGGTTCCCCCCCCAGGGGTGAACATAGTTGACGGCATGTGGATCTTCAAGGTGAAGCGGCCGCCGGGATCTCCCCCAGTCTTCAAGGCACGCTACATGGCTAGAGGGTTCAGTCAGCGTGAGGGGGTTGACTTCTTTCAGACCTTCGCGCCCACCCCGAAGATGACCACTCTTCGGGTGTTACTGCACGTAGCAGCGCAAAGAGACTACGAGTTACACTCTCTTGACTTCTCCACTGCTTTCCTTCAGGGCAGTCTACACGAGGAGATCTGGTTGCGTCGTCGTCCCAGCTTCACTAGCACCTTCCCGCCTGGGACCTAGTGGAGCCTCAGACGACCGGTCTACGGTCTGCGCCAGGCACCCCGTGAGTGGCACGACACTCTCCGCTATACTCTGTCCGACCTCGGGTTTGAGCCGTCTTCCGCCGACCCGTCGCTGTTTGTTCGTCGTGGGCGCACACCTTTCTTCGTTCTCGTCTACGTTGACGACCTGGTTTTTACCACAGCCGACACAGTTGCACTGGTGGAGGTGAAGTCCGAACTGCAGAAGAGACACACCTGCACTGACCTTGGGGAACTGCGCCGCTACCTTGGCCTGCAGATTTCCAGGGACAGAGCCGCTCGCACCATCACTCCGACTCAGTCACACATGGTGCAGCAGGTCCTTCAGCGGTTCGGGCTTCAGCTCTCTTCTCCTACACCCACCCCTCTTGCTGTAGACCACAGACTCACTGGGCCTTTTCCTGACGAGCCGTTCGAGCCCAGTGGTCCCTACACAGAGCCGGTGGGCTGCCTCATGTACCTGATGACGTGTACTCGGCCGGACCTCGCCTTCCCTCTTATCATCCTTTCTCGCTTTGTTGCGACTGGGAGACACCGTCCTGTTCACTGGAAGGCGGCTAAGAGGGTGGCAAAGTATCTCGGCGCGACATCAGACATGGGGCTTGTACTCGGAGGGACACAGTTAGTTGTACTCACCGGTCACTGCGACTCCTCCTACGCCGACGACGTTGAGACTCAGAGGTCTACGCAGGGTTATTGTTTCAGCCTGGGCTCTGGAGCTGTTTTGTGGAGGTCCACTCGGTCCTCTTCTGTTGTGACTTCTACCGCAGAGGCCGAGATCTACGCTGGAGCCCTTGTTGCACAGGAGCTACGCTGGTTGACCTTCTTCCTCACTGACCTTGGTGAGCGGCCGAGCTCTGCACCGACCTTGTTTGCTGACAACAAGGCGATGATTCTCCTATGTCATGAGCCTCGACTGGAGAGCAGAGTGAAGCACATCAACGTCAGGTACTTCCTCCTTCGAGAGTTGCAGAGGCGCGGACAGGCTCGTCTGGACTTCGTGGCCTCCGAGGCCAAGACTGCAGACATCTTCACCAAGGCCCTTCAGCTTTGTGACCACCGCCGGTTTTGTCTGCAGTTAGGCCTCGTTGAGACTGGGTCTAGTAGACTGCAGTAGTGAGTTCTTGCCTCTTGTTTGTGTGTACCATATATATCAGCTTGTATACTCTTGAACTGGCCTTGTGGCCCTTTGTTTGTGCCCAGACTGTGTGGTGACGTTGTGATCCACCCTGAGCTTTGTTTTCTCTCTTGCTTGTGACTGGTCTTGTAACCTTAGGTTGCGTTTCTTGTTGCTTGGCATTCCCCACTTAGGCTATGGGGGTGTGTCAAATGTTATAGCCTCTAGTGGATCATGCTATATGGGGTACAAACAGTAAGGGTTAGGCATTTGTACCCCAACCCAATCAATCCAACTCACTCCGTTGTGTTTAGTTTCTGAGACTGGCGTAAAAGGTTTCGCGATAAACTTCGCAAAGCCGGGTCAGTCCGCGGGGCTCGCGGGTGGTCCGAGGGGCTCGCGGGTGGTCCGAGGGGTATGTGGGGGTCCGTCCGAGTGGCTTGCGGGTGGTCCGAGAGTGCTGCGCGCTGGTGTGTCAGGGCTCTCCCCAGCTGTGACCGCCGTGCCTTTCATGCGGAGGGGTCGAGTCTCTCGACTCGAGAGGGGGGGTCGGCGATGTGGTGCTCACTTGCGGGGCAAGGCGAGCGGGGAATCGGTTTTCCGCCAGCTGGGGGGGTTGAGGAAACCAAGTACATGTATCATCAACAACCAAACCAACGCCCCGTGCCGCAGTGCCGCAGTCTTCGTCTGTCACACTGCTTGCGCCCGTCCGATTGGGCCGAAAGCATTGCAAACAAACTGGCTTCTGTTGACCTTAGTCGGTCACGCAACTTCGCACGATCTCTAGTTTGCTGTCTGGTGCTTGCACCCTGGTGATGAGAGTATGGAAGTGCTTGGCGAAGGAGTATATTTATGGGCGATTCTTCCTGGGGATTAGACTCGCAAGCATCATGATGGCGGACACTAAGTTGAAGCTGAAGAGCTCATACGATATAATTCTCGAAGTAGACCAAGTGGTAGCGTTCCAGAGCATCACAGTGAAGAATATGATTACGAATGCCGACGTCTTTTCTGCCAGCGAGCCCCTTTCTTTGCCAAACGTCTCTGGGTGTATCCTGGTAAAGGTGATTCTCTTCTGGAAAAATCACGTGGATGCGAAGAAGCCTGGCACGGCGGAGAAGCCTGCGGTCACGGGCGACGAGGTGAAGGCGTGGGATCAAGAGTTTGTGAACGTCGATCAATACACTCTCTTCGACCTGATATCGGTGCGTATTCACTCTCTTGTAAGATTCATGCATCACTTATCGTCCGGTTTGGCATATCACTGGCATGCGATATTTACGTTTTGTTGGCGTACTTACAGCATAATCTCCCTTGCGATCCATAATAAATTACCAGGCTGCGAAATATCTGGACATCGAAGGTCTGTTGACGCTTACATGCGATACTGTTGCTGGCATGATTCGAGGAAAGACGCCAGAGGAAATCCGCAAGACATTCAACATAGATAACTCATTAACTCCAGAAGAAGAGGAAGAAATCCGACGCGAGAACCGGTGGTCGTTTGATGACTAACGGATTTTGCTCGGGCGAGCAAGGTGCAGCTGTATTCTCCATATTATCCTGGTCCCCTGACGAAGTGCATTGAAGTTACCCCCTTCTTTTCGCTTTGCAGGAGTCTCTCCATATTTCGTTGTGCATTGCGGATGCTTGTGAATGACGTAGTATGCCCTTGATTATGATTTGGAAAAGTGTTGCTTTTGAACAGTCAGCTGCTACACGCAGTGATGGAAAGTGGGGAAAGCAGGGAAGGAAGAGGAAGGGGAGTGGAAGAGGGGGGTGTGGGACGGAGAAGGGGGAGAGGGAGGGTTGGGTCGGGGGATCAAAGATGGGGAGGAGGAGGAGGAGGAGGAGGAGGAGGAGGAGGAGGAGGAGGAGGAGGAGGAGGAGGAGGAGGAGGAGGAGGAGGAGGAGGAGGAGGAGGAGGAGGAGGAGGAGGAGGTGGAGGAGGAGGAGGAGGAGGAGGTGGAGGAGGTGGTGGTGGTGGCGGGGCAGGTGTTATTGGAGGTGCTTCTGATGAAATGGCTGGCTTGCGTGTGAGATAGCCATTATACAAATTTTGTTGCTTGTTGTAGTTAATCTTGTTATGAACAATACTGATTGTGCTGATTTGCTACATACTTGGTTTGGCCTAATACTAATTGTTTGACATTTTTCCTTCAATGATATGCTGGTATTTCCTATCCTTTATAGGGTTGAGAATTTCTTAGTATCCATTGCCGTTGATTTACTACAGAATTTCTGCAATTACCGGTATTGTGAACCATAACGTGAAGGAAAGTGGCACTCAGTCGAGGTACATGTAACATGAAAAATCTCTCGATGTCTTGGAGGTGGGCGCGACGTGAGACTAAAGCGAACGAGAGATTTCAGCCTCACAAAACAACGCGCTCACGAGAACCGCATTCAATCACTTGTAAGCCGAACCTCGAACATCACGACAGGAGTTATTGTCGTGAGTCGTGACGTGATTTCACTGCCAGCCAATCGGGCAAGGGTTACCTTGAACGTTTTCTGGTAGCTGACTGACAGATACCCGTCACTAGTCATGAGTCACCATGACGTGAGTTCACCTCACCAGCGAGCTTCCCCACCCCACCCCACCATCCCTGTTCTGCTCAGAGATGCTCCAGAGTTGTGATTCCTCCTCACAACCTTTCTTGAATATGATGCAACATACGCCGTGAGTTTCACAAGCAAAGTAGCAACTGGCAGTCACTCCTTCTGTTTGCCTCGTAAGGCTTGTAGTCCCTTGTTATTCGTTATCCAGCGAGTTCTCAACCGTTCTGTCGTTGACGTTCGAGTGTTAGCATGGAGTCTCGTTCACATTTTAACCGACTTTCTGGCAACCTACTTATCAAGATTCTGTGGCATACCGGCAAAACGCCACTCTCTACTAACTTCACGATTGATGCAGCATGCGACGATGCGTCATGCGACGATGCTGAACGCGACAATGCTGCGTGCGACTGTTTGTATCCGAGGCAAAAATACTTTTGGTCTAAAGCTCCACCAGGGCACTCACACGGTATCGAACAGAAACCTCTCGTACTGATTCCTCCTTTGACCGACGCTGCTCTTAGTCTCCTCCTCGCTTCTGTCTGCCGTTGCTGGCGCCGTCTCTCCCAGCGTTACGTCTCGACGCTTCTCGTCAGGGAAAATCTCGACGTTTCCCGCCAAGACCTCGCCAACGCTGACCGGCTTCCTGATGGCCTTGGAGAGATTTCGCCGTGTCTCCGCGAGCTGACCCTTCGCTGGTGTTCTGGACTCACCCGGCTGCCCGATGATTTCGCATCTCTGACCCAGTTGGAGAGCCTGACAATCTCCTCATGCCTCCGGTTTTCCAGCCTGCCCGTCGAGTTCGGCCACTTGCCTACCCTGAAGACATTGTTCCTGCGTATGGTGGCCCTGACCAACCTCCCGGACTCTTTTGGGCATCTCGCATCCCTTGAAAGAATAACCATGTACATGGTTCCTCTCACAGAACTCCCGGAATTATTCGCGTATCTCAAATCTCTGAAGACGCTGCTCATGGTTGGTTGCCTCGAAATCCGCCAGCTTCCGGCGAATTTCGGTCGCCTAGGAGCTCTCAAGACGCTGGGCATGGTGAAGCAGATGGAATTGAAGCTTCTCGTGGGATTGGGGGGAATGGATGCCATCCGGAGGATTTATCAGGGAGAGGTCTTTAATCGGCTGCAGCTCCCGGGTTCATTCGAGGGGTTGACTTCCTTGACCCGGCTTGACCTGGATTTCATTTCGGATGAGAAGCTTCCTGAGGGCATTGGGAAGCTGAATCAGCTGCAGCAGCTGCATATCCAGTGCTGTTTCAACCTCAAGGAGATTCCAAGTTCCGTGACAGGGCTGACAAATCTAAAAACCCTCACAATTGGGTTGTGCAGCGAGCTTGTGTCAATTCCCAGTAATCTGTGTGCACTTTTGAAGCTCAAACGGCTGGAGATTATGGGGTGTTATCCGGACGTATGGCGGAAAGGACCTCCAATCTCTTTACCTTCCTCTCTTGAGTCCCTGAGCCTGGGTAGCTACAATGACACTGTGCATCTGCCAAAATTCCCTCTGCTGCTGAATCTCAAGAAACTGACATTGAATCTGGTCACGGTTGAGAGTTTGGAAGCTAATGCGTTTGAACCCAATGCTTTGCCGCGGTTAGAGCATCTGGAGTTGGTGTTGGCAGAAGATGCAGAGGAGCTCTCATTCCCCTTGGCCTCCCTCCCCCAGCTGCGAAACCTGGTGGTTTCCAGGGCTGGTAATGTAGAGAAGCTTCCAGGAAGCCTCGGCTCGGATCTGAAGCAGCTCCAGCACTTGCAGATAGAGAATACTCCAGAACTGAAAGTGCTGCCGGAAACGATATGTCAGCTTCACCACCTGACCTCCTTGGCGGTTCATGCACCCAAGCTGACTTCCCTTCCTGCCAACATCGGTGCGCTATCCATGCTAAAGGAGCTTGATCTGTCTAACTACTTTAGCCTGGAAAAGCTCCCTGCTTCTTTGACCCAGCTCGCCTGACTGAACAAGCTGAATCTTGAATGCACTGCCATCCGCGTGCTTCCAGGAAATTTTGTCAACGGGAGTTGTGTGTTGGCCCCGTCCTCGCTTGGGCGGTGTGAGAGGACGTCCCCGTTATAATATTTTCTCACTATTATATTTTTCCGTTATCCCATTCTCCCTTTTCTCCTCTTTATTTTGGTCTTTATCTCATCTCAATCGGCCTACTATTCTATTCTCTAGAGCCTTTTATTTATTTCTCTTATTTCCTACTTTTCCCACCGACATACCTATTATACGGCACCGACAGCGCCGACAGTGGTGTATACGATGTAATCTGGGCGTAATCCCAAGTGCCAATAGACTTGCGTGCTTATGCGCACTTGTGATTGTAGTATCGGGAAGGGTGTGTTCCCGAAGGTTCGTTTTATCTCGTTTATCCTTGTACTTTCCGAGTATAAATAGGCCTTGTATTCAGTTTTAGTGACAAGTTTCGATTGAGAATTCGATCCTGTGACACTTGGTATAAGAGCCGTTCTCACTCGACAACTCTCGGCTAAGCAGCGGTCGCGGAAAAAATCGCCTCGAAAAACCAACAGTACCCGCCACGGTGCAACCCGCACATGACTTCATTTCCACTATGCACCAATTGTGGGAGCGCACGCATAAACGTCTTCTGACTATCCAGCAGCAACAAAAGAAGCTCGCTGATCGGAGTCGCAACGATCATTCCATCCAGATTGGCGATCAGGTGCTTCTGGATACACGCAATCTCGACATTAGCCATCTTCCGTCTAAGCTCCGACCTCGCTTCTGCGGACCTTTTCTCGTCGAGGCGTAGGTCACTTGTCACCCCTTGCTCTCCCCCACAAAAGAATTTGTGTGGTATCCTTGAGATCCACCCTGAGCTTGCTTTGCTTTGCTTTGCTTTGCTTGACTGGTCTTGTGACCCCTTGCTCTCCCCCACTTTGCCTATGGGGGTGTGTCAGATGATTATATTACTGATGCATATATTTAGGCTGTAGTGGGGTAGCCCATAGGTGGTACAACCCAATTAGGGTTGGTACTTGTACGTGTTTCATTTCATAGTGCACCCCATTCCTCGCCTCTATCTCAACATGGTATCGAGCAGGTTCCCTAGTGGGAACTGTTCCTAGGGCCCACCTACTATTCCGTCCTGCCCGGAGCGCGCTCTGCCCTAGCCCGAGTCGCGCTGGGCCTTTTTTTTTCCTTTGGCGGCCCGATCGCGTCGAGCCGCCCGCGATTTTTTTTTTGGCGCGCCACCTACGCGGCCTCGTCGCGCCGCCCCTAGACGGCCGCGCCACGTCGCGCGTGCCGCCCTCCAGTCGCGCGCCGCCCCCTCTGACCCTCGCGACGCCGGCGCCGTCTCTGACGGCCCCGCGATCGCCTGCGACGGCCCCGCCGTCCCCTCTACCGGCCCCTCCGCTGCACTTGACGGCCCCGCCGTCCCCTCTGCCGGCCCCGCCGCTGCAATTGACGGCCCCGCCGTCCCCTCTACCAGCCCCGCCGCTGCACCCGACGGCCCCGCTGTCCCCTCTGCCGGCCCCGCCGCTGCACCTGACGGCCCCGCCGTCCCCTCTGACGGCCCCGCCGCTGCACCTAACGGCCCCGCCGTCCCCTCTGACGGCCCCGCCACTGCACCTACCGGCCCCGCCGCTACCCCTGACGGCCCCGCCGTCTCACCTGCCGGCCCCGCTGCTGTACCTGACGGCCCCGCCGCTTCACCTACCGGCCCCGCCACTACCCCTAACGGCCCCGCAGCTGCATCTCCCGGCCTCGCCGCCCCAGCAACTGCGCCGCCCCAGCAGCCGAGCCGCCCCGGCAGCCGAGCCGCCCCAGCAACCGAGCCGCCCCAGCAGCCGAGCCGCCCCAGCAGCCGAGCCGCCCCAGCAGCCGAGCCGCCCGAGCCGCCCGAGCCGCCCAGCAGCCGAGCCGCCGAGCCGCCCGAGCCGCCCGAGCCGCCCGAGCCGCCCGAGCCGCCCGAGCCGCCTGCACTACCCTGTCTGGTGAGCACTGAGCTTTACTCTGCGCACTGCCCTCACCCCACTGCTGTCATGGCTACCCCCAGTGTCCTCACCTTCGACGCTGAGGGCAGAGCCATCGACTTTGACGTGTGGGTAGACGACCTGCTGCTTTTCCTACAGTGCGACAGAGCTGACGGCCTCTCTCTCTTTGATCTCACTTCTGGTGCCTCTCCCGCCCCTGCTGCTACTGAGGATGCCACTGTTCGCTCACAGTGGGCCACACGCGATGCTGCTGCACGTCTTGCTGTGCGTCGCCACCTCCCTCCCTCTGAGCGTGCACACTTTGGGTCGTACAAGAGTGCTCAGACCTTGTACGACGTCGTTATTGCACGCTACTCCACCCCTGCGACTGCTGCACTGAGCCGCCTCATGCTACCGTACCTCTTTCCCGACCTTGCTTCTTTTGCCACAGTCGCCGACCTCATTACCCACCTGCGCACTAGTGACGCTCGCTTCCGCGCTGCGCTTCCTGCTGAGTTCTGCGCCAAGAAC